GTTGGGATCAAAGCTAGTAAAAAAAGTAATTTGGTTTGAAAATTTTTCTTTTACAAACCGTACGTACTATCATGATTTCTATATGGCCGTCCTAATTTGCGTTTACGTACTGTACTACTTTACTATATACTCTAACTTTATGTACATCAATTTTAAATTTGAAAGTGAAGTCTAATAGCTCCATAATTATGGCAAAAATTACTTGGAAGTTTGATTCAAGAAAACATGTCATGTGTTCAAAGGTACATCATTCGATATGAAATCTCATTACTGAAACTTTACCCTCGATAACTTGCAGTATTATGGGTGTTCCCAAGCAGCTTTTTCAATGTGATCCGATGCACCTATTTTATTCATCAAAGTTATAACTTACTAGTTAGTTTTATTCGATTTCCGACTACTTAGAATTTTGATTCCGGTACATTGAGGTGAGATGCCTGAGAACACCTAGTTCGAATATTATTAATTGCAAATAAAATTCAATAATTATAAAGGTATTTTTTTTAGGTTCAATGTAATCGATATGGCAATGTATGAGAGAAAACATGCAAGTCTCAATTTTCGATTTCGCATGGAGTGAGAAGCTCGTCAACGAAGTGACAGAGCGGTCATTATTGCGAGATCAGATGACGCAGATCGCATTAGTGTATATGTCTTTTATGGTTAGTCTAGTTTTTCGTTAAGATTTCTTGTAAATGCAGGTTTTTCGGTATTATTGTGATAGCATATGATTTAGCGAATTTGGAGTTATATCGTATATGAATATCAGTAAATTGGAAGGATTAAACAGGAATAGGGGTATGAGTTTTTAGCATGTAAATTGAAGGATAGTGTTTTATAAGGGGGCTTGTGCGGAAGAAAGAAGGTTATCTTTCGTTTCGCTATCGCTCGCCTTGGTAAAGGCTGGCTCTATCTCCCACCCACCCACCCGTTGTCTAAAGGTTTAATGGCTACAAGGGTGTAACATATGGCTGTGATTGCAAGAATTAAGGCTCCACGGCTGCAGTGGCAGTGCAAGGACCTTGGTGGTAAGCTTGGGGCTCCACGGCTGCAATGGCAGTGCAAGGACCCTTTTTAGCAGTTTTGGGCTCCGCGACTGCAGGGCAGTGCAAGGACCCGCATTAATGAGTAGGCAGGCTCCACAGCTGTAGTAGCAGTGCAAGGACCTGGTAGTTAGTTGGGGCTCCACAGCTGCAGTGACAGTGCAAGGACCCTTGGTAGTTATTGTTGAGGCTCTGCGGCTGCAAGGGCAGTGCAAGGACCCGTATTAGTGAATAGTTAGGCGCCAAAGCTGCAGTAGCAGCGTAAGAATCTTTACAAAGTTTAATGTTTCTACCCAAAATAGATACGTCAGTGATGTCCGATTCTCTTTTTAGCTATGTGGACGCCTATTTGTCTCCTTTGGCTACTTTGGTGGCTCGTGATAGAAGTGCGAGTATTGGGATCCTGAAGGCGTAGGGAATTTAGAAGGCTAAGGGTCAGTGGGTTATGGCCTACTATGTTGGGAAGACACTTTGATTCAGTTTGAATGTTGTGATAGTTCTAGAGGTATTTGTTGTTAATGTATTAAAGTGCGAACATGTACCTAGAGCTTGCTTGGATAGCGAACCTATTCCCATATGTTTTTTCATTATATAGCAATAAAGTATATGATCGAGCAATAATAATACAGACTTACAGACTTACTACGTAGCTCGAATTTCTAATATCATCGAAATTTTGATGTTTACATTTCAACAGATCGACATAAAAATGTGGCTATGTTCGCAGGCTTAACCATTTGATTTACAATAATTTCAAGAATTTCTAAGTTTGCTAGAATAAATGTAAATGCTTTTTTAACAATATGTAGATAGGCGTTAAAACTTTATTCTGGGTGCATCTAAGTTTATTAGTACTTTATATCAGCAAAGATGAAATAAACGGATGAATTTATTCTATACATCTACGTAGAAGTCGTGGGATTTTGCCACAAATAAAAGGAATTGCCTTACTATGCAATAATATTATAATAAATATTTGTAAATATGTAACTATCACCCGTTGCATGCGTATGTAATTTTTTTCAAAACAAAAAAGAAAAGCCATTCAAAAGATTAAAATGTTTATTATTACGAAAATTAATTTCAAGTTTAAATAAATCTTTGAATAATTTTAGCTTAATATTCAATATATATATATTATATAAAAGAAGACTATGGAATCATCTACATCTTCTACGACTAAACCAAAACCCACATCCCAACTACAATCCCAAGATGAACACACAATAGTCCAAGTTCCATCTAGCCGTCACAGCCGTCACAGCCGTAGTCTCTCAATTGAAAGACCACATAATGGTAAACCAATTTCCAAGATAATATGCTCACCCAGAATGAAATATGTGGGCACATGGAGTAACGATGATAAATCTGTCGTTTTATGGTCGATAATCACTGGACAAGAACATTTAAAATACGAAAATGAAATTTTAAGAACGAGCATTACCGAGCCCAACACGTTATCTGCCGTATCTGATGATATGCACGTTGTGATAAAGACCAATTCTTATCATCTTAATTTTGGTAAACATGCGAATTTTTAAGAATAAATTAATAATCATTTAACTAACAGTCACTTTCGTTTTATAACAGAAATGTTTGAAGTCATGACTAAACAAAAACCACCGCTTAGATTTCCAAATATACGAAATATCATTGAAAGATCTGAATTCACTATAAATGGTGACTTTGTAGTGGTTTCAAGTTTTCCTTCGTATAGGGCTTACATATTCACACCGACAACTCCTCCTGATTCAAATATCGAATGGCATCTTACATCATTGCTTGAACTGTCTTACTTTAGCGACTCTTTTATAACTATACAAGGAAATTTGATTTTATTTAACGATAAAACCTTTCAAATCACAAATTGGTTCATCAAAACTCAGGAATTAAAAACAAATTGTCCAATTGATTGGAGTTATGTACCTGTTCTTGTTGAAGTTGCTGAGGATGAAGAATTATTGGGAATCTGCGCGAAAAATTATACCGAGGATGATAATCCTGGAACATCAAGGATTTATATTTATTCCACAATGAACGGAATGAATTTGGCCACTTGTACGTAAATCTTCAATTATATAATAATAATTTTGAAAAAAAATAAAATTTTGCATAATAAATATTTATTTATTTTATTAGATGATTATGATTCTTCGATTTCAATCGATAAAATATACTTTATAGCTCACGACATTGGTGAACGTTTACTTGTCATATCACATGATACAGAAAATAATGTTAAGATGGATTTATTTGATCCATATACTCTTGAAAATCCCGTTAATGCCGAAAAATTATTTGAAATCGGTGCCATGATCCAAAACCCTTATACCATAAAATTTAGTCAGTTAATTGGTTTGATTGATGGTAACATATCAATTTATAGGAGATTTATTCGTAATAAATGGATTGATTATTTACGAGAACAACTTAATGATTATAATAGATTATTTACATTATCTGATAGAAAAGTAATGCATGAAATGATTAAAAAAGCAATGAATATTGGAAGTTATGGTCTCAGCAGATACGATATTGACCATATTGAACAAGAAGAAACGTATCAAGGTCGTTTATTAAGATGGGAATTAGATTGTCGAGTTCAAAAGTTGTTTATACTCAAGGCATTTCATTTTAATCATGAAGGAAATGAATGGCAATTGGTGCAAGGAAAATCTCAACGTAATATATTTCCTAATTTTCATTCGGAAATTCGAGATAGACCACAGTACATTATTCAATGCAGGATACTTGAGAATGATGATTTATTCATGGTCACGACTTTTGGTGTACTTATCTGGACTGTAATACCCGACAAAGGAATCAGATTACTATATTATTGGGGAAATGAGGATCTTTATTATCAAGAATTGACTTACACAAAATTATCCTATAGTGATCCATTTGTAAAAAGAATTCTTCCACCATCAGAATTTGATATTATTATTAAATTTAAGGAGTTATCATTTGGTCCTGAAGGAAGCCAAGATGTGAGTTACTTTTTTAGAGAATTTATTGAAGATTATATTACCAATAAATTTTCTATAATATATTATGGAAGTATTATTATGAAATCATTCATAAAAATGGATGCTGATTTAATGATAGAAAAACTGTGTGAAAGTTGTTTTGAATTTAATTTTAGATCAAATGATGATAGCAATGATGTATCAACTTCGAATATTCAATCACTTAGCATAATCGTACAAATATTTCCTGAATTAATACAAAAACATCCGAATTATCTAGCTGGTTTTCTATCACGGGCTGCTTTCGTGATTCCTTTTATCGATCTATCATCAAAGGTTAGAGAGAAAGCTTCCATATTTCATTCTTCACATCTTTATCAACATGGAACTTATAATTATTTATCAAAAACTTCATTTATTAATATTTTTATTTCGAGAATTTATGAACGTTGGAAACATTTTCAATATATTCAGTATAAAAATCGTTTTCAAAATAATCAAAATTTTTCAATATATTCTTTTATCGAAACTTTTATCATAATTCCATATCAAAATTGGTATGATTATTATAATTCTGATAATAATATCACTATTAAATTATTACTTCCTTTGCCAAAATTTGTATCATATCCGGAGGGCTTT